ACTGTTGTCAGGGCAGGGGGAATGGGGGGGGAGGAAAGGGGGGTCGAAATACCCTCAGCATTAGGGGGAACTGGTAGTCGTATGTTCGCCATTTCATCTTCTGAAATTTTCAATGGGAATTTTCGCAAATTTAAGACAATCCAATGATTCATATCTGTAAATTTTCTTATCTGTATTATCGTTGAACGTATTGCGAAAGAACCCGATTATAAAAATGCAACTTTCTTGAAATTCCAGAAAAAATAAAAATGGTGGTTAGGAGGTCATCTACTTCAACTTACCTGAAGTTCATTTTGCCGTTAGGGAGTTAGATTAGTATAGTCCGCGGCACAAAGCGCCGCGCACACCTTAAATTTACATGCGCAACAACTGACTCCCAGCGGCCGCGCGAAACAAATTAAACTGCATTTTTCCACTTTACAATTACTTTAAAATTTTTCTTCCCTGCTTATCCCATTTCCTCACGCAAAAAAACCCTACAACCACCGTTTCCGTGGGACAGAATGCTGGGACTAGGTGTAAATGAGGTGCACTACTCAAACTACCTTCACCCATTACAGTCTAAAAAGTTGTGAGATTCGTTTTTAACATCGTCTGATCATGCGCAGGTAGATGGTCTTTTAATTAAGCCTAACCCAAACCCTTAACCTGAATCGTAAACTCTAACCTTACCTTGAAATTAAACTCAAACCTTTACCCTGGCCCTTAAACTCCAACCCTAATCCTACGTGCCTGGTCCTCGCAAAGTCCAACCAGGGGCTTGCGAGCCATAGCACTCCAATCAGTGCCAAGCATGTGGGCGGGTTGGTGTGGTTTCTGTATTCATGAGAGGATGTCTCCAACCCGTGTTCCAAGCCAAGATCGTAATGTTCTAAGATCAGTTCTGGAGCTTAGCTAACAAAAGCGCTTGCGGTTTTGTTTAAATGACGTTTGAATGAAAAGATGGGCAATTAAATTTCTGGACCTTACTAAAATGGATGGAAAGCTGACTAGCTCGAACCCGCGACCTTTTGGTCAGAAGTCTAACACTCTAACCATTGAGGCACGAGCTCGCTGTCATGCCGGTTTAAGTCGGGAGCTACTTGTTGTAACGATGGGTTCAAGCGTCGCTAGTGTTATGACGATGCCATCTGCTGTGTGTCACCGTCGAAGTACGCCCTGTTGAAATC